CAACTACACAAACAACAAATATCTCTCCAGCATGCACAAGCCATCACTTTCCAGCTGACGTTTTAAACGACACACCATAACACCTTCCACCACTTATAAGAGTGATTTCTGTAAGGCCACATAAATTCTGTTTCTATATTATGATACTGTTTCTTGATGAACCCGTCCTACCTCACACTTGGGTAATTTAATAATTTTTGCATTAATGATGTGACGTCACACTCCCAACCATATTTTACCGCTGTGCCATATTTCTCACCGTCTTTCTGCCTTCCAACTGTTAAAAAGGTCAAACTCATCTATAACGTTACACCACTACTTATAAATCTTCAACTGCGGTTGACAAAATTGCAGCACCGAAAAAGGATTTCACAGTCTTCAGACTAAGCCTGGCGTTATTGACATATCTCCTAAGCTGCGTCTGATTGCGACGACAGCGACATCACTCTCATGGCAGCTCGCGTAAAGGGGCGGCTTCTTCGAAAGTCCTATCTACAAATATGCATGTGAGGTTGTCGGTGTACAAGAGCCTAAAAAATTCTCCAGACTATGTTCGTTTGTTGTCAGACAAGTGCAATCACCAAATCATCTGTAACGCAACCAAATGATTTGACGTAATCGCCGTCAATGTAGGGTAGAAGTAAAATTAATTTCTTTTGTAAATTCAATTCCACTTTTTCTTAAATTAAAGATAAAGTAGAACCAACAGGAGCAACTAAGCAGTAGTATGGTTACCATAACCTCTACGCACATTTCTTCCGAAATTTTCAACTGCGAAATAACTGACGAGTGAGGTTCCCAAATCACTAGAAAGAAAGCTAGAAAGCTCTATGATAAAAAGGAGCAACTAAATAAGAACATAATCAGACACAGACCACCATTTATAGACGACAGCTGTCCAGCAGTTATGACAAACTCATTAACGAACTCAACTACTAGCAATCGCAAAAACACGTCAGAACATCCGGTCGAACAAACAAGCCGTAAAATCTTTCCAAATGAACCTCATCCATCAAAACAACCGGAGCCTATAACGACCGCGGTCAGAGCAAACTCAACAAAACTGCCGACCACTGCCGAATCACCACCACTGTCCAGAGTTTTCCCAGCATTAATCAGGAAATCATCTCGTAATGCCCATATGCGAAACAGCATTCTATATGAGAAATGAGAGAAAGTTTAAAAAAATAAAATAATAAAGAATAAAACAAAGAAAAATAGATTCCGCATTTGATTATTCCCTAACAAGACCCATGTAAATGTTTATTTGGAAGCTCACAGAAAAGAAAAGATCAATTTTACCATCCATCAACAATTTCCTTGAAATCTCTAAGTTTTAATAGTAATTTCCTACAAAACAAAGAGTCATTTTAGGTTTCAGCAACATCTTACACAATAACCTTTACTTCGAACAAACTTTAAAAATTCCTTTAGGTAACATATCAAAAAACATCTGTAAGTTACTTGAAAAATAAAGAAGCAACACAAGCAAAAACTAAAATGATCCTTTCACTCCACTAAAAAAACCTATACAAGTAACAAATTCCTTTCGCCAACGTTGTACTTGGTAAAGAAGTGTCCCTTCAATTCAATCTAAGTTTCTACTTTTAACAAACTTCACACAAAATTAAAGCTTCAAAACTAAAACAGAAAAAAGAAAACACGAAGTTCAGAGTCCTTTTTAAATTCACAATAACAACTATTGCATTCTGCAATTTTCAATTTAGAAAATTTCCAATCCAATTTTAACCCACGATACCACGACAACAATGACGAAGTAAAGGATTTGGCAACAAAAATGAAAGATTACAACACGATTCAAAAACCAAAGCATCATTAAGTCAAATATTGAATACAGATCAATTTTTTTTCAATTTACAATCTATAACAAATCTGCAGAACATCTAATTAGTGCAAGCAAGCAGATAGTGCAATTCTCCATTTGCTAAATGCTTAAAAAGCTCATAAAATAATAAATTTCAGAAGGTTTAATCTTTCTACTTATTGAATTAAGGCCATCTCCTTTACCCTTGAAACTTAATTATAATACTATATTTAAATCCCTCGTCCTGCGTTCATAAAAATATAAGACCCTAACGAGAAGAAATGCCAAGCCATTTCCGCTAGCCACCTCAAGATTATTTTGCTTTTCTAAGTCAATCATTAATTACACCAACAAATTTTTGAACTGTAATCAATCACAATAAATATAATACAAAGAACTTCAGTCGGAGTGATGTAACGAATGCACAAGTTTGAGGACAATTATACAGAAGGTCGTTTTACAAATAAAAAGCATTAAAACTACAAGAATTGAAAACCTCAAATTATTAAGAACTATTGAGCAGAACTGGTCACTTAAGTCGCTTGAAAGGCTTAAACATCTCAAGTAGTTGCAACCGAGCTGTGGTGTTTTTTAAATAACCCAAGAAAAAAAACGTGTGGTAGCTTTAAAGTTAAATATAAAAAAAGACCAGGTATTTTAGGTACTTTACAAGCTCACTGGCAAACTAAAGTTCGTTTGAACTGCAAATTAATAGCAATAACTTATCTTAACTCTGCAAAATGCGACAACAACTGCAGAACGCATAAAAACACAAAGCCACGAAAACCATGAAAATAGCCTTGAAGCCCACCAATTCGTTAACATACTTTTACCTTGTCTCTTTCCCTTGGACTAAACTGCCCTCTCTTTGATTGACATAAATGGTTAAACAT